AACTGGAGCACCACTTGAACACCACAAATTCGCTATTAGTCAATTGCAAAAGGCGGCCTTACTAGGAACCGCTTCCATCCTGCGACGATATCTGTAATACCATCAAACATCCACATCTGCCTATCCCAGGCCCTTGGGAAGGACTCGATAGGTAGACAAAAATGCCAAATCCAGTCTGAACATCTGGCTGACTGTGCGATGATCATAATAAATAATAATAATAATAGCCGACTTTGCAATGACAAAGTGGAAACTGTTTCACATCTAATCTGTGAGTGCAGCAAAATTGCGCAAACTGACTGCAAAGCTAGACATGACCGAGTTGCTAAATTAATCCACTGGGCATTGTGTTAAAAAATACGACTTGCCTGTGTCCGAAAAGTCGTGGGAACACAGGGTGGAAAAAGTGGTTGAGAATGAGAGGGTGAAGAACTGGTGGGACTTTTGAATCCAGACAGATCGCCATTTGGAACACAACACGCCGGATATCGCAGCTGTAGAGAACCGAAGCGTACAGCTGATTGATATCGCTGTACCGGGAGATGCCAGAGTCGAAGAAAAAAAACGAAAAACATTACGAAATATTGCGACCTGGCCATCGAAACTGCGTGATTGTGGATGAAACGTGTGATCCCTATTGTCATCGGGGCACTGGGAACTATGTCCAAAAAACTTTGCAAAATACATCAAGAAACTGCTGCTTCCTGCAATAACTCCAGCAATGTTACAAAAAAAAGCTGCGCTACTCGGAACATCTTATATTTTAAGGAGGTACCTGGTTGACACCTAGGATGCTGGCAGCAACCCGTGTCAACCATCAGCGCCAGCCAATTTGAATGTTCAGTTGACTTGAGGTTCATGTTTAATGAATAAAAGATAATAATAATAAATAAATAAATAAATAAAAAGTTGGAAGGAACCTTGGGAGGTCATCTAGTCCAACCCCCTGCTCAGGCAGGAAACCCTATAACCATTTCAGGCAGGAAACCCTATAACCATTTCAGACAAATGGCGGTCCAGTCTGCCAGGCAAAGTCAACGGGAAGCCAGACTCAGTTAATAACCGTGTCACTAACTTAAGAACCGAAGTGATTGACTTAACAACTATGGCAAGAAAGGTGGTAAAGTGAGGCAAAGCTCACTCAACGACCGCCTTGCTTAGCGACGGAAATGTTGAGGTCCATTGTAGCTGTAAGTGAGGACTAGCATTAAACTTCCTTAGCTGCTTTGCTGCTGGCCAGAACTGCTTGGCGTTTGAGGCTGATTCTGAAACCACTTTGTCCAAGGCTGTTGTCAATTCAAGCCATCATTAAAGCAACAGTCGTAAGCCGAGGACTGCGTGGGATCTGAACCAGCAACAATAAACCAGATGTCCGGTTCTTGCCTTGTAGGATAGATGGGGCTTGGGGTTTTGAGCATCATGTGCTAGTATATTAATAACGCAGATAATAATATACAGGTAACTAGTCAAGGAGAGAAGCAACCTAGAACTAAGGAGAAACTTCCTGACAGTGAGAACAATTAACCAGTGGAACAACCTGCCTCCAGAAGTGGTGAATGCTCCAACACTGGAGGTTTTTAAGAAGAGATTGGACATCCATTTGTCCGAAATGGTATAGGGTTTCCTGCCTGAGCGGGAGGTGGGACTAGATGACCTCCAAGGTCCCTTCCAACTTTATTATTATTATTATTATTAAGTGGCTGCCGGAGATACATGCGCTGACATTCCGAGTATGGATGACCAGGGGTTCAGCTATTCAACCTATTCTCCAAAGCGCCTGAAGGCAGGACAAGAAGCAATGGATGGAAACTGATCAAGGAGAGAAGCAACCTAGAACTAAGGAGAAACTTCCTGACAGTGAGAACAATTAACCAGTGGAACTACCTGCCTCCAGAAGCGGTGAATGCTCCAACACTGGAAGTTTTTAAGAAGAGACTGGACAGCCATTTGTCCGAAATGGCATAGGGCTGTGGTGGCGAACCTATGGCACGGGTGCCAGAGGCAGCATTCAGAGCCCTCTCTGTGGGCATGCGCGTCGTCGCCCCAGTCCTAGGCCTTCAGCTGGGTTTTATAAACTCTTTTTGCTTTAGGCCTCTGCCGCCATGTGCAAAAAAAAAAAAGGTTCAATCAATTTCAACGTCTCGCAGGAAAAAAAAAAAAGATCTTGCAAAGTTGAAATTGATTGAACTTTTTAGTCCCACCCAGTCTGCTGTTACAACCATAGCCATGCCCACCCAATGGGCCACGCCCAGCCAATGGGCCACGCCCAGCCAAAGGGCCACACCCACCCGGCACCCGATGATGCATAAGTGGGTTTTGGGTTGCAGTTTGGGCACTCGGTCTCTAAAAGGTTTGCCATCACTGGTATAGGTTCTCCTGCCTGAGCAGGGGGTTGGACTAGATGACCTACAAGGTCCCTTTCAAAATTATTATTATTATTATTATTATTATTATTATTATTATTATTATTATTATTATTATTATTATTATTATTATTATTATTAAGAAGGTTAGGACCGTTTTTCACACTTACGATGGTTGCCGCATTCCCTGTGGTCACGTGATCAAAATTCAGATGCTTGGCAACTGGTTCACACTTACGACCTTCGCTGTGTGACCCAAGGGCAGGTGACCATGTCTCGCAACCTTCTGACCAACAATGGGAAAGCCAGATTCACTTAACGACTGGGTCACTATCTTAACAGATGCAACGAGTCATTTAAGAGCTGTGGCAAGAAAAGTCCTAAGGTGGGGCAAAACTCACTTCACAAACGTTTCACTTAGCAAAACTTAGTAAATTTGGGGCTCAGTCGCGAGGTCGTAACGCGAGGACTGCCTGTCATCTGTTGCCCGCGGTCACTTTTACTTAGATAATGTCTGTTAAGTGATGTGAATGTTTAGACTCCGTTGTGGAAATGCTGTCCCAGCAGTTCTGTGGGGCGAGCCTCGGTTTACCAGCTCGAGATGAAAGGAGCGGGAAGTGACTTGACTCAGGTCCTCTACTTAATCTCAGAGTTGACATCTTAATTATTGCATCTAGTAATCCTTACAGAGGTGCAAATAACCTGTATCTTACTAACATACTTTGTGTAGTTATGCTGAGATGTAGGACTTCTGCTTTTTGAGAAACTCTGAGACTGGTCCCATCTGGTTGTGGGGTCCTTGAATGGTCTCTGAACTTGGTGGGCTTTGGACAGACTTTTCATGACCCATCTAGGTAACATTAGTGCTAGAAGGGAGTGGGATTATGGAGTGGAAAGAAGAGGGACGGGGGGGGGGGGGGGGGGGGGGGGGGGGGGGGGGGGGGGGGGGGGGGGGGGGGGGGGGGGGGGGGGGGGGGGAGGGGGAGGAGGAGGAGGAGGAGGAGGAGGAGACTGGGGTCCTTGATGGTTGAACTTGGTGGTTTTTTTGCAGACTTTTTGCAGTGCTGTTGTAACTTTGAATAGTCACTAAAGGAACGGTTGTGTCGGACCTGCCACAACATAAACCTCTAGATAGGACTCTAGAAAGAGTACAGAGAAGAGCAACAAAGATGATTAGGGGACTGGAGGCTAAAGCATATAAGGAAAGGCTGCTGGAATTGGGGATGTCTAGTTTAAGGAAGAGAAGGATGAGGGGGGACATGATAGCAGTGTTCCAATATCTCAGGGGCTGCCCCAAAGAAGAGGGAGTCAAGCTATTCTCCAAAGCGCCTGAAGGCAGGACAAGAAGCAACGGATGGAAACTAACCAAGGAGAGAAGCAACCTAGAACTAAGGAGAAACTTCCTGACAGTTAGAATAATTAACCAGTGGAACAACCTGCCTCCAGAAGCGGCGAATGCTCCAACTCTGGAAGTTTTTAAGAAGAAACTGGACAGCCATTTGTCTGAAATGATACAGGGTTTCCTGCCTGAGCAGGGGGTTGGACTAGATGACCTCCAAGGTCCCTTCCAACTTTATTATTATTATTATTATTATTATTATTATTATTATTATTATTATTATTATTATTATTATTATTATTATTATTATTATTATTATTATTATTATTATTATTATTATTATTATTATTGCAATCCTTGGCTCCATTGTTGAGAAAAGCATAGTTTTATTAGAAGTCAAGTCAAGTGCAAAGCCAGAATTGAGAATTGTGTGCCAAAATTCCTAAGTTCTACTTTTCCCTCCCTTAATAGTCTCATTGTCCGGCCCCGTGTAACAATCAGATTCAGGCAATAAGTTTTCCTAAGGGTCAGTCCAAGCGCAGTTTGGCATGTGGCCCCCTCCTTCTTCCAGCTGGGTGACCTTGAGCCTTCCCCCCTTCCTTCCCACCGTTGGTAGCAGTCTGTCACCGCATAGCAGCCGAACCACAAGCAAGCCTAAGTAGGGAGCTGACAGGTCGTAACTCAAGAATGACCTAAACCATAGGTCGGTAACCTGCAGCTCCAGAGCCGCATGTGGCTCTTTGAGCCTTCTCCTGTGGTTCCCAGCCTCCTCTGCCATTTGCAGAGAGAGAGACAGAGACAGAGAGAGGCACTTGCGCTTCCCTTCTCTCTCTCTCTCTCTCTCTCTCTCTCTCTCTCTCTCTCTCTCTCTGTATGTGTGTAAAAGAGAGTGGCCTCATGCTGTTCTTCAACGAGCTGACAAGCATATTGGGTGGGGCTCCTGCCTTGGCTGCGTCTCTGCAGGAAGCAGGAAGGGCAGGAGAGAGCCAGCCCAATAAGAATGTGTGTCAGCTTGTTGGAGAACAGTGTGAAGCCAGCTTGCCAGGTGAGCAGAAGATCGGAGAGAGGGAGAGAGGGGGGGGGAGAGAGAGAGAGAGAGGAAGAGAGAGATGGAGAGAGAAAGAGGGAGAGAGAAAGAGAGAGAGAAAGAGAGAGGAGAGAGAGAGAGAGAGAGAGAACTCATGCACAGCACCCTCTATTTCTTTTTAATGGGAAAGGGGTCCAAGTGGCTCTTTGAGTGTTTATGGTTGCCGACCCCTGACCTAAACAAACAGTTTCTCTTGCTTCTCTCTCTTCAGCGGCCAGTTTGCAATCGTGCGGAAGTGCCGCGAGAAGAAAACAGGCCTGGAATACGCAGCCAAATTTATCAAGAAACGCCGCCTGTCCTCAAGCCGCCGAGGGGTGAGCCGGGAGGAGATTCAGCGGGAAGTCAACATCCTGCGTGAGATTCAGCACCCCAATATCATCACCCTCCACGACATTTTCGAGAACAAGACGGACGTGGTGCTGATTCTGGAACTGGTCTCCGGCGGGGAGCTGTTTGACTTCCTGGCCGAGAAGGAATCCCTGACGGAGGAAGAGGCCACCCAGTTCCTGAAACAGATCCTAGATGGGGTCCACTACCTCCACTCCAAACACATCGCCCATTTCGACCTCAAGGTGAGATCCTTGGATTCCTATCTCCGAATAATAAGAATAATAAATAATCGAACGACTCATAATAGAATAAGAGAGTTGGGAGCCTGGAGGTCTTCAAGGTCCCTTCCAATAAAATGAAAAACAACCCTCAAAGGGTGGACTAGATGGACCACTAGGTCTTTTTCTGCCATCCATTTTCTACGCTTCTATCTGCTGATCTACGGGGATGTTGGTGCTCTCTGAGCTTGGTGGTTTCCTTGCAGACATTTCATGACCCAACTAGGTAACATCATCTGTGCCAGAAGGGAGTGGAGTTTGCAGGGAGGAAGAGGAGGAGGAGGAGGAAGGGGATTGTGGGGTCCTTGGTGCTCTCTAAACTTGCTCTTTGTCTTGCAGACATTTCATGACCCAAACTAGGTAACATCATCAGTGCTAGGAGGGAGTGGGGTTTGTGGAGAGGAGGAGGAGGAGGAAGAGGAAGAAAAGGATTGTGGGGTGCCTGGTGCTCTCTGAGCTTGGTAGTTTTCTTGCAGATGTCTCGTGACCCAACTAGGGGATGTCAACAGGGCTAGAAGGGAGAGGGATTTGTGGAGAGGAGAAGAAGGGAGAAGAGTGTGGAGTCCTTGGTGCTGAGCTGGTGATTTTCGTGCAGACGTTTCATTGCCAAACTAGATAACATCGTCAGTGCTAAATTGGAGTGGAGAGCCTGCAGAAAGGAGGAGGAGGAGGAGGAGGAGGAAGAGGAGGAGGAGGAGGAGGAGAACTGTGGGGTACTTGATGCTCTCTGAGCTTGGTGGTTTTCTTGCAGACGTTTCGTGACCCAATTAGGTAACATCATCAATGCTAGAAGGGAGTGTGGTTTGCTCTCTGTTTATATACAAGAGGCTGATGGGAGCCTTTGTCAGAATTGGGGAATACCAATTCAGAAAAATAAACAAACAGTAGATGGTAGCCTAATCAAGGAACTACCAAGCAGAAAATCACACTCCCACCCACGCCGCCATTTTGCCCGTGAATGTTCAAGAATTTTAACACCGTGATTTAACTTCAGACCTCGAATTGCCGGAGGGACTCACG